ATATATATTTGACTGCATATGAGAACATATATAACTATATAAGTTGTAGTTCATTTTTCTCTTGTAATTATGAGAACATATTTAAGTAGATATATAGTTAGAAGCCAAGTATTATAAGCACAATAACTATACGGGAACATATATAAGTCGTAATTTATTTTTCTTTTGTATCTTCACAGTTTTAATTAAAGTTTGGTCGACAATATGTAGCTATCTTTTTATATCATTGTATTACGAAAGATATACTACAGTAGTATTTAGATTTTTATTATCTAACTTTTATTAAACAAGTAATTCATTTTTCAATTTCAATTTAGGCCATTGTCTCAACCAACCAAGTTTTATTACTTATTCAAAACTTTCGCACCATCTCTATATTTAAAATCAGGTTTGTTTCGAGTGAGCTAAACACATGCATTTCTAAAACTTATCTTTTGAGAAACACAATTATTGGGGCATGATAAAATGTTGTTAAGGACAGATTCTCCGTATTAGAAAAATATTGATTGAATTATTATATACCTAATTATATTTTGTTCACCAAAAATTATTGGGATGCCCTTGAGGCTTCAACCTTAAATTTAGGTCACCGTGTATGAATATCAACTAATTCCACTTGTATGATATAAGATAAGAAGAGTCTCGTCTATATATTATTGACATTGTGGTTGTGACTAATTTGTACTCATTTACGACATACTAGTGATTCGAGCAACTCAATTTCCCAAGTCTAAATGAGCAATTTGGGAGTTTCGCCAATCAGAGTCACATCATTGTGTAAGTGAAATGTCCAACTCCTATCCTATATGCAATCTCCTAAACCTAGGCTCTGATACCACCAAATGTAACACCCCCTACCCGGCCCGGAAGGCTCGGGCAAGGAGCGCTACCCGCAGTGTCGGAGCACCAAAGCGCAAACTAACTTTTCATTATCATTTTGACTATTCTAGAAATACTTTAGGAATTTTAGGAAATAGTAATTTTATAAACATTCATAATTGCAGAAGCATCCATATTTTATACATAACACTTAAAAAGTTAAGTGTTGCTATCAGATTCTACTAACATGCTGACTACATATGAATGACACAGACTAAAAATAAAATATCACTAAATGCAAGTGTGACTCTGTGCTGATTGGCAGGTTGCTCCCAAATGCTTTCCTCCTTTTTCCTCCTTAAACTCCGTCTCGGACTATGTACCTACGCGAAGGACAAAATCCAACGCGCTAAGCAAATCTTGCTTAGTGGTGTTCATTCTTTCTCATACATTATCAATAACAAAAATCACATAATAAATTAACAATTAAAATAACTTCAAATATAAATTGTATTGAAAATAGAAATATCACCGTAATGATCTGTACCCGTTAACTTATGTATCTCACAAAAATAAACTTTGCTTCAAATTAGTAATTTAAAACTGTATGATGTCGTTTCATTCGATATAGCTCGTTCAATAATATTTCATTCTATTCTAAACACGTATTTCAACCTATTACAGAATGTATAACATTGTAATTATTAAAATCCCCATCTCAATTTGAACTATTATTATCTCTTTATTTTGTTTGAAACATATAGAGTAACTTACAAAATATACTTTTCTTATTTGCGTAGAAGCATATAAAATAGTTTATCCTGTTGTCTCCCGTATTCAATTCAATATAATGTTACATTCTCTTATCGTCCTTCATCTTTATATTCCTATATTTTACTTCGTACTTCGATTTTCTTATTTTCTATTTTCACATTTTCCTTTCATTCTTTCTGCCTCCATTTTGTCACTTCATGTCACAGTCTAAATTATTCACATGAGCAATATCATAGCTCGTTGTGATTCAATAATTCATTCAACATTCTTCGTGTTCCACTTTAACTTTCATTTGCTCAATTTTTCATCTTCTGCTCATTGTCAAACTCTCTATTTTCGTTTTTCACACTTTTATTAAGTTTCTGGAATTCTACTCCTTGATTTAATGGACTGGATAAACGGGACATTCCTCATCTGGTACTGTCCACTCTGTGGCTGCGGACCATCTGAGTAGTATCAGCCTGACCGTTGTGTGGGTCAGGCCTTTCGTTTGGGTACTGTCCACTCTGTGGCTGCGGACCCTAAACGATCGAAGTTCAAGATTTCGGGTATGGTAACAGCACTGACCGTTGTATGGGTCAGGCCTTTCGTTTGGGTACTGTCCACTCTGTGGCTGCGGACCCTAAACGATCGAATTCTACGGCCGTATTAACTATCCCTATTGGCATGCCAACCTATCCAGATCCAGAAACAAAGGTTTCAAACTCCATTTTATTTTATTCATTTCAATTGAGTCCGTATCACTAATATTATATTATTATTTTCCAATAATATCATTATAATCAATTTTAAGTATAATTTATAATATAATGATATTCCAGATTGTGTTGGAGTAAATACTCTCGTACTTGCTCACATTTTTGTATTATAAAAGCTTCGAATATAATTTCATATATGCCGAACATTTTCAGACAAAATGGTTTTATATCAGAGTAAATATATGTATACAGCTGCACATGTAATAATGGATATTTTTAATATTAAGAATTAGGAACATAAACTATATGAGTACGTTTCTTAATGATCGATTACATATTCACTTTGCTTATCAACCTATATAATGATCGAAATTACCATATTACATCATTATGAATGTGTATATTATGCTTTTATTTATTATCTTTATAATTGAGACTTGCTCTTTAATCATGTTAAAGTTTAATTACTTATTAAGTGATTGAATTGCCTTGGTATGTATTTACGTTGTTGGTTTTCAAGATTACCGTACTTGACATCTAAAGAAAATCCCAATTACCTATTCTACAAGTGAAGTTTGACAATTATCACATGTAAATAAAATATAGCAGTATAAACTAAATAGCATAGCAAATAAAACGTAATATAATTAAGACATGCAATTTATTAAGATATCTAAATGTAAAACTCTAAAATTCAATAACATTTTAAAGCATAAAAATAAGATTAAATTGAGAAGGGAATGAACACAGACCTCTACAAATCCCAAATTTGTCTCACACCTTACGATCCCTTAGTCTCTCTTCATCAATCTCATCCTATCTTATTACTTCCTTTCATCCTTACGATGTTCATGCAATCCATTCTATATTGTAAGGCTTAAGTTTATCTGGTGGTACTAGCTAGCTGGGTAGTCATTTCCTACTAATATTAATACACTTACTCTTTTTGTTCTTTTCTCCAATAGATCTGCCGAGTGTCCTCCTATGCATGTGATGAGTCATTCCCTTTCCTTTGTAATATATGCATGGAATAGCCAAGTGTCAACCTTGTCTCATTTTAGATTTATTTATTAATTTTTTTTTTATATTTTTATGTATCTCTAAAGAATTTATATTGTGGCAAGGTATTCGGCAATTATACTATTATTGTTATTATTTTCACAATTAGATTTGGCTACTCGGACCATTTATCTCTAATAGACAATAATTATTTTCAATCAACTTACTTCGATATGCATACTTCATTCAATTTTTCGTTTTTAATATATATTGAATTAATGAATGAGCTTTCTAATTCGTTTGTATTTTTATGCATGCATATGTGAAAAGAAGTTGTTTTGATCTGCATGTAACTTTTGTTTTATTCTTTTTAGTATTTGGCAAATTGTTCACCTATGTATATGGGAAGCACGCATTTCTTATACACGTGTAAGCATGCAAATATATATTAAATTGATAGGATACTAATTGCTCCTATGCCATTCCCATATGCATTTAATATACACGTCTATAGGTGTGTAATATACTAATACATTAGTGTACGTAATTAAATGATCATCATCATCGAACATTATTTATACGTTTATTAGTACTCATATATTTTTGATAACATTATTCTTAATTGTATACATTTATGTTTTACCTAGTTGTATTTTTAATAACTAAATCACTTATTAAATTTTGCATGCACATATTTTATTATTTGTTATTTTGAACTATACGAAGTATAAGTTTTGGGATGTTACAAGTAAACTGTAATCCTCTCTAAGTTGGGAGAATGGGTAGCAATGAGTTTTTGTTGGACTGTTTTGAATTTTTGATATCGTGCAGGCAGTTAGTAACTTGGTGATTATGATGCTCTTTTTTTTATCATTTGAAATGGTTGGTAATGTTTGAGTTTTTGTAAACTAAACATGAATTGTAATCCTCTGGGAGATCAACTAGCAATTAGTTTTTGTTGGACTATATTGATGTCTTGCAGGCAGTTGGTAACTTGGTGATTATGATGCTCTTTTTTTACCATTTGAAATGGTTGGTAGTGTTTGAGTTTTTGTAAACTAAACATTGAATTGTAATCCTCTGGGGCTCTGGGAGATCAACTATCAATGATTTTTTGGTTGGACTGTTGTGAGCATTTTAATCTAAATTATATGCTTTTTTCAAGGCAGTTTGTCATTCTAACTTTGCATCAAGGTATCTAGTAATTTAGAAATTCTAATTGCTAGGTTTTTGTAATAACTTTGGCATTGCTTTGGCATTGTACCGTACCGTTTTGGACCGTTCCGAAATGACATGGTACCGAATTGTTCCAATCCTAGAACCGAACCGTACCGGACCGTTTAAAACTTCATGAATACATTACGAGGTTTGCTAATTTCCCGGACCGTTCCGGACCGCGCCCACCCCTATCAGCATGTGTATCACCCTGGTTAGGATTTCACATGGGCAAATATGTAGATGAGCTTCGAACTGTGAGCAGATTTTTTTCGCTATAGATTCAGCAATCAACACTAGTTTAGAGGGCACTTGGGGCTTGATTGGGTTATAAGGGAGAGATGATTAATTTTTATTTTACTAGTTTATTATTTCTAGGGGAAATTCACACCAATAATCTGTACTTGTACCGATTACACAATAATAATCCCCACCGACAAAATGTATACAAATACTCCGAACTCTTAAACATGTTCACATAAATAGATGGAATGAAACGGGACTAACGGTTCCGTTTTATATTAATCCCTACCGCTACCATCGCTATTTCTTCTAGCCGGTCTCCATGTTCTCTTCCTTTTCTTCTTTATCTGCTGTCTTCTTCTCCATCTTCTCTTTGTCGCATAATTTTGGTTTCATTTTGTAATCATATTCACCTCATCACACGATCTTCTCACCAATCGATCTCTACCCTAAATTTTTCGTGCTCATAAAGGTTTACCCGAATTTACTTGTTTCATCCATGAAAACCTAAGTCAGAATTTTGCTCTTCAAAATGACCTATTGTAATTCTAATGAAGCCCAATCAACGATTACTCCATCATCAAAAAGCATATCAAAGGTACTTGTGAAATGCGACCATGGCATGGTTTCAGCTTTGAAGACAGTGACATTTGGGCCAAACAAGGGAAAGAAATTCTATGGCTGTCCTTTATGGCAGGTATAATTAAGACCAAATTATGAATAACTGTTTTTTTTTGTATTAGATTTTGACATAGGTGTTATGTTTTTGTAATTTGCAGAGTGACAATTGTAATTTCTTTTTGTGGGAGCATGATTCAAAGAAGATGGAGAGTAGGGTGTCAATGGATACAGAAAAGCAGTCAGTTTTGGATGAGAATGAAAAGCTTAGAAAAGAGCTGGAAGCAATGAAAATTGAGAACAAAATTTTGTTGGAAAAAATATGTAAGCTCAGAATGAAAAAAAAATTGTTAGAGGCTGATAGAAGGAAAGTAAATTCAGGGAAAAAGGCTATGTGTGGTGTTGTTTTATCTTGGGTTGTCATTGCTATTGTGGTATCCATTTTAGTTGGTAGGATGTAAGGATGATAGCAGTGTGGTGTGCTTTGTCATTGTACAATCCATTTAGGCCAATTTGGTCTGTTTTTGTAATAAGTTTGGGATATATGTTGTGCTATTTTGTTTGATATGGTAATGTTTATACACCTTCAACATTGATTATCAATTTATTAAGAGACTGCAGTTTAGATTTAATGGGAACATGAAATATTTTAAAATTGCAGCTAGTTTGTTTGTAATGATGGCAATTTGTTACACATGATATCCACATATCTATTGCACTTAGAAATACTAAATTATGCACCCGTTGTGTTTTCTGTTTCCACTCAAAACAGTAAAATGTCATTGGGAAAAAATCTGAAAAACTTCTCTGGATCACCATAAACAACTACAAAGAATGTTGATTAAAAAAAATGAGCATGTTTTAGAAATATTTTCCAGTCAAATTTGATTATGTATTCGGAGTTTCTCACAACTTTGACATCTTAAATCATGCTATATCGAAAAGATATTAAGATATGGAACTCACATTTTAAAAACTGATAAGAATTTATAAAGTTGGTTTCACAACCATAATTAAGAAATAGTAACAAATGTATTACTGTGTATCCTAAAAAGTTCATGGTTTAATAAAACTAAACTAAAATGAATGAAGTGGTGGAATGTAGTAAAGATGCCAAAGTTCTGGGTGAAAGAAGTGAATAATGCCAAACCATGATATGTGCAGATTCGAATTCAAAGGGCTAGGGAAAGATGGCTAGCTAGCTAGTCTTTTTTAGTTGCTTCTATTTCAATGGCTTTGCTGTCAGCCCAATGTTTAAAGTGGCTTTAAGTATTATCCACCAAAAAGAGATCACTTCCAGTATTCTATAGCTTTATAATATAAGCAGTGGTGAGGTTCCTTTAACATATTATGAATGTAATAGGAGTTACTTCTGTAAGTTTCATCCAGACATGCATCATTAAAGCTTCTCATGGCAAATTAAAGAGCTTGTCCACAACTAGGATAGAAACAGAAGTATAAGACATGTTCAAGTGACTGCTTATAATTTGTATTCACTGAAGTCTTGAAGAGACTGATAGTGTGAAAAAGGTTGGAACCATGAACTAGTATTGGCACGCTGGGGTTGTGAAGAGACTGAAGTATTATCAAGTCCCAGGATTCCGGCCATTAGCTTAAGAAAAAAATCAGCCAGACTAATGTGGAATATCAGATTGTTTTAAAAGATGTTGTGTCTAGACTGTAGATTCCATCCAATAATAACAACAATAAAAACTGCAATCCATCCCAAAATATATAAACATCATCCAAGAATTCATTCATACAATAACATACTAACATCCAATCAGGGTTCATCTAACCAAAATATAGTTTGAAATGGTCAATATCTGCAAAACCAGCAATTTTCTAACCAAAGTATACCAAAAACGACTAATACATGATCCATCTAATTAAAAACTGTCATGGGAATCAACACTGCCTTCAGGTTTGAGTTGCGCCCGTAGAAGCGTTAATGCTTTCATTTTGTCTTGACAGAGATGATTGGGTCTTAGGGAAGGACACTTCAGATACATTCATAGGATTAGTCATTGTCTGCAAAATCAAAGTATAGCCAAAAAAAAATACGAATAAGACTTGCTACAAAAAGTCATATAAATGATTACCACAAAAGTATTAAAAAACATTAGTACACATACATTCATATACTGATTACCATCTGCAGAGTTATAGTAATCCCCAGATCCAGCTGCAATCTGCATATTTTCAGTTTTAGAATTAAATAAAATTTTAAAATGATTTAAATAAATTAAATAGCTAACATATGTTCCCCTCTCACTTTGTTTCTGCCTTCAACCGCTTGTATTCCTCTTCCCCTTCTTTGCCTATTCCCACCCCTACCTCTATTAGAAGGTTGGGCCACAACTGAATGGTGATTTGTATTTGAAACTTGATCATTAATATTTATCTTTCTTGGCCTCCCTCTAGGCCTCTTAGTAATGGCTTGTGAGAGTTCTTCAGGGTTGCTCTTGCACTTGTTTTTTGTGTGCCCTTTTTCCTTACACTTACTACAATGCATCTCTCTACCATGCCTAGTTAGCTTCCCAACTTTTTTAGGATCCTCATAAGGATCTCTTTTTCTTTTTTTCTGTGGTCTGCCAGGGCCTTTTTTAATTGGAGGGGGGTGAACCAAAATTTCAGAAGATGGCCAATACTTTTCACCCTCTAAAGCAGCTATCTTCCCACTATAACTCTTCAAGTAGGTTGTTCTCTTGTAGAAAGGATGCACAAAGTCTTCTGCTTTCTTTCTCAAAAAAAAAATGCATGATATTGCATGACAACATGGGATACCGGTGAGGTCCCATTTTCTACATGTGCATGTTTGGTTTTCCAAATCCACAACCAACTCATCTAGAACATGTCTTACTTGGAATTGTGTCATTGTCGAAGGCGTTGGATAACAGTTAATGCTTTCATCTTTTGACCTTTCCAGTTTCGCAGCAATCCTAGGACAAATTTCATGATCATTTGCTTCCATCCATTGCCTTTTCACCACTAACCTTTCCATTAAAGCAGTCCGTATATCCTCTAACATGTAGATAATATGTTTAGATCTTGTTTCGATAATGTAACCATTTAAAGTTTCTGCCATGTTATTCACAATGACATCACATTTCGTGTGTGTGTTTAGAAAAGCCCTACAGAATGATTTAGGATTTTGAGCTACAAAAGCTTCTGCAGCTGATTTGGATATCTTTCCTAGCTTTTCTAAAGCCTCACTATATCCAACTTCATTATACGATCTCGCAGCTTCCCAAAAGTAACCTTTTATCTCATCACCTTTAAATTTAGAGTGCCAGTTCTTAAATATATGCCTTGCACAATTTCTATGCTCAGCCAAAGGGAGTACTTTTGACACAGCATTTACGAGACCCTGCAAAATGTATATTACATTTATCTACTTCATCACAAGTTCACACATGAGATTATTTACAAGATAAATTTAAATGAAACAAACCTTTTGTTGGTCAGATATTAATGTCCAGCCTTCTCCATTTGTTGTCTCCAAACAAAAATGTAACTTTGATAAAAACCATTCCCAAGAGTTATTGTTTTCACCCTCCACGGCAGCCCAAGCCAAGGGAAACATTTGATTATTCCCATCTCTCCCAACAGCAACTAGCAGCATCCCACCCAAAAAAGTCTTTAAAAAGCAGCCATCTAAACAAACAACCCTTCTACAACTACTTAGAAGACCACATTTCAACCCATCAAAACATACAAACAGCCGCTGAAAAATCAATGGATTTCTGATGACCTTAGGATCTGTGAATAAGTCAAAGAATGAATTAGGATTTGCCTTCCTCAGAGCCATTAAATAGCTACCAACCTTAGCATAATGGTCCTTCATTGAACCATGTAACATTTTGTTAGCCTCATACTTTATTTTGTATGCTAACGTTCTCTTGATAACCACTTTCCACTTCTTCTTAACGGCATCAACAATTTGCTTCCCGGACCAGTGGGGTGTAGCTTTAAAGACTTCCAATAAATTTTTGGCCATCCACTTGGACTTCAGTTGTCTATTCCTGCTCATGTCTCTAAAACAGTTATGTTTGTTGTTCACAGATTTCACAACAAAACAGTCCCGTTTATAGTCCCAAGAACCATAGATAGAAAACTTGCAGCCTGGTGCACATTTCACGCCTAATCTTTGGCTCCTGTTTTGATCACTAACATTGTAAGTCAAATTTCGTCCTTGAGCAACTGCATACCTAGTGATAGCTTCTCTAAACTTCTCTGCGTTACCAAACCTTATCCCTGCACACCATTGTAATTTGCTGAAATCAGTAGACTCGTTCACAATTGGTGCCCTACCCTTCTTCTTCTTCCCTAAAATATCATCTTCTTCACTATCTCCTGGGGAATCTACTTCACCATCACTATCTTCATACTCTGAAACACATCCACCAACTTCTTTATCTAATATCAACAATTGTTCTTGTTCTCCGGCAGATGTGCCCTCTTCCATTTGAACAGTAGCTTGTTTCACTTCTTCAGTTGTTTTCATATTCCATTTCTCCACTCTATCTCTAGCTTCAGTCCATTCTTCATCACTCGTATCACTTTTTCCTCCATCCAGTGCTTCTAAATATGGATGCTCAGGTTCTTCAAAGCCGTCATCCCATCTATAGTTTTGTTCTCCTTCTTCTGAGTTCTCCTCTATACCTTCAGCGAAAGGGGAATGGGCAGGGTATTCGATTGAGGTATTGTATTGATTTTCATCACCCTTATGCACAACATATAAGTCAACCACACCTACTTGCATACCCAATCTGCCTATTTCTATCACATCTTTATCACCACTAAGCTTATGCAAGCCTGCATTTAACGACTCCCCAGGAACAAGGTAATAAATATCCTCAATTTCATCATCAATTCCCATCTCTTTGGGCAAACTGAACAGCAACCAAAAATCCAATTTATCAGGATCTATATTCATTGCGAGTGTTTCCTCCCCTCCTACATAATGTGATGGGGCTGTTTTGTTTAAATGCCCTCCATAATGATAGTTCAGATTAAACAACTCCATTCCTGCAGATCTCCAATTGACAAAACTCAAGTCACATGCTTTCATCTTTTAAAAAGATCATTACAGTAACAATATAAAGGAACATTCAATTGGGATTTATGTCAATAGTGGACAGAGTATAGACAATACACTTATATATTACACAAGCAAAACAGTTGTATAAAAAAGATGAATGTCTTGGTTAAACCTCTACTTAGAATTAAATACCTATTTTATGATTTTTTTGGGAATTTAAAACCCTAAGTGCTTATAATAAACACTATATTTCCACATGAGAATCTGCTAAGACGTAGCTTTAGTCATCAATTACATCAAAAGCAAACACAAAGTCAATAACCAATCTTTCTCAAAATGAGAAGTCATAACCCTGAAATCGGGAAGGACATATCTTTCAAAGACTCATTTCTATCTTCCAAAGTCAACAACCAATCTTCGAAGACTGATTCCTATCTAAAAGAAAAAGAATTACATTAATAACCTGATAATCCAAAGAATTCCAAAGAGTTGTTTCTGGTATGCTACTTCTCCACCAAATACTCGACCGTTTCTTCAATTTTCTCTTCTTAATCGAGCCTGGTCGGGTAGCTCCAAGATTAGCAGCGAAGTGTGGTGATTACATGAGAAAAACCAGTTCAGTGATGATAGAAAGAGTGCGTGAGGCAGTTGATGAGAGCGGGAGGAAGATAAATCAAATATTTTGAAGAGTAAATGAGGGGGAGGGCAAGAAACGGGATGTGTGGGAGGTGGATGGGGATTAAGCGGTGAAACGGAAACGTTAATTCCGTTTCATTTTATCTATTTATGTGAATGTGTTTATCTGTTTGGATTAATTGTATCAATTCATTTGGTTGGGATTATTATTGTAAAATCAGTGTAAGTACGGATTATTGGTGTCAATTTCACCTTATTTCTATTCTTTACAGGGAAAACAATGTATACATAAAATTAGAAATTACTTCAAATAGGACTAAAACTATGGCAAAAACTCAAAATAGGACTTGATATGTTTTTATTCCAAAATAGGATCATATTGGTCCAATTGGAAACACACCTATTTCTTCATTCCATTCCTACCCCTCCTTTAAATATGAGTAAAACATAGTCAAAATTCATAATTAAATGTTTAATTCATACGTAGTAATAAATTTGAAAAAAATTCAAAAATTCGTAGGAAAATATTAAAAAAATTAATAAAAATTTTACAAAATAAAAAATCGATTTTTTTATTTATTTTTTATAATTAATAAAAAAAATAGTAAAACTCCATAAAAAATTTATAAAAAAATGGATGCCTTTCCTACTACCTCTCTCCACCACCACCTCTGATCCGATCGGTGTAAAAAATGCTATCTTTTTTTTTAAATTCCAAAAAAATGGCATATTACTGAGAATGACAACATTTTCATTCTGCCAACTTGAATCATTTTGATTTCTGCCAAAAATATGGCATTCGTAATATTTTTGGCATTTTTTTCCCCCGGTGACAGGAGGTGGTGGTGCTGCCTCCCTGCACCACCACCTCCGACCGTTAAAAAAATGTCATATTTACATAAAACTGCCATTTTTTTTCCTGAAAATGCCAAAAACAATGGCATATTTCTCTTTGAGAATGCCAAGTCGAATCATTCTGCCAACTTGAATCATTCTTACTTCTGCCAAAAATATGGCATTCATAATGAATTTGGCATTTTTTTGCCAAATGACTAGAGGTGGTGGTGCTAGGGCGACAAAGGTGGCGTTTTTTTATAGTATTATTGTTTTTTTGGTATTTTTACGAATTATTATTATTTTTTATTATTTTATTATAAACTAAAACATTCCAATAGTTATAAGGGTACATTTGTCCAAGACACACATAATTAGTCCTATAGAAACATAGTTTGATTTTTGATCCTATTTGTGCAAAATGAGTGACTTTTAGTCCTATAATAATTAACCCAGATAAAATTCAATCGCACATTTAACCACATAAGTTTCAATAGCATCAAAATAATATTGTTTGTTTCAAACATAATCCACCCACCTAGGGCCGGGCTGGTATGTTTGAAGGCGCAGCCGCGCAGGGGCATACTTTTTTAAAAAATTGTAAAATCTTTTTTTTGTCTAAATTAACATGCATAATAATAAATTTCACAAAAAATTGACATAATTTAAAAAAATTGTAAAATTCTTTTTATTTTTTGTCTAAATTAACATGCATAATAATAAATATCACAAAAAAATTCGATAAAAAAATCTACTTTTATAAACAATAAATGTCTAATAGGGACAAAAACGTTTCGAATGAAGCTTAAACTTGTATTTTGTACACATTTTTCAGTCCTTACCATTGACGTTTTTTTTGTAAAGTTAGGGTATAAATAAAAAATACCAGTTGAAAAGGTTCACTTTTACAAATAATAAATGTGTAACATAATAATTTCAAAATAATCAATTCTTTTGTGGATCCCGCGCTCACTAATTAATACCAGCTTCACAATAATCTTGAAATAATCTGAATTCATATTTCAATCCCGAATTATTTTGTCAAATAATCTCGTTAAATAAACTTCATCACTCAATCATGATATAAAAAATAATGCGTCATATCAGCAACTTAATCCTCCAATAATCTTATGGATGGAGATGCCCTTAGGGCATCTCCATCCATACTGATGTCATGTGATCCCTCCCCTCTCTTCCACATCATTTCCCTAAAAAAGTTTAATCACCTCTAACCTATCACACTTTCTCCTCACTATGGTGACCTAGGTCATTTAAAATTTGTACATTCTCCTTGCATATTTTTGGTATATTCCACCATTATTAATTTATATAATTTGAAAAAGGAAAATCCACATTTGACCGACTATAATTATTTATTGTTGGTAATTGGCATTGTATCTAGGTAGAGAACGGGTTGGATCCATTTTCAGAGGAAAATATATTCTAAAACAGATAAAATTAGATGCAAGAGAGAAAAAAGTGGTAAAATTTGAAGTGACTAAACATATCCTTCATTGGTGTCTACTTCTAAAGGAAAACAATCTAATTTTTTGGTATAATATTTTTCACAATAAATTAAATTTAAAGAATAATAAATGAAATTAGGGAGTTGGGGATAGTTAATGGGGTTGGTGGTTACCTTGATTGGGAAGAGAAGACATCTGTTTCTCATGCCACTATTTTTTCTAAATAAAAAGCCACTTAACTTTCTATACTTGGTTAGTAAAAAAATGTTCAACAATGCTTGATATACCCACTCTTATACCCACTTTATACCCATCATGTTTGTGAAGTGTTTTTTTTGTCTGTGAATCCGATTCACAGACAATATTTTGTTTGTGCAAACACTTCACAAACATATGTGGGTACAAAAGTGGGTATAAGAGTGAGTACAAACATAATTTTTGAAAAATGTTTGTCAGATCACATCCTCAACCTTACATTTTGACCCATCACCTCATGACCTCCCACATTGGATCAAGTGGGATAATTTGTTGAGAGCTTCTTGTACCCACTATTGTACCCACTTTTGTACCCACCATGTCTACATAGACATATTTTTGTCTATGACCGGGATTCACAGAAAAAAAACTCCTCACAGACATGGTGAGTACAAAAATGGGTACAATAGTGGATACAAATAGTTTTTGTACTATTTGTTTTTTATCCTCCGTGACCTCTCGGGTGCTCTAAAAGGTTGGAAGTTGGAATTACATATTTGGTACTCCCTCCGTCCCTATTATATCTTCCAAATAGGTTTGACACAGAGTTTAAGATAGTGGGTATTGTGTGGTAGAGAGTTGTGCAGAGGAGAGAGAAATGTGTAAGAATTGCTGTGAACCACAAATTCTGGCCAAAAAAGGAAAGTGGAAGTTTTAATTGGGACGGACGAAAAAGGAAAGTTGGAAGTTTATTTAGGGACGGAGGGAGTACTTCATAACTGATTAACCCATTATACGAAAAAGAATAGAAAAACGTAAAAACTAAATAAAAATGGAGACCATATGTCAGATCAGCCAATTAAAATAAAAGGATGACACCTCATCCCTGAGGGGGCCCCAACACCGATCGGACGGCATGCTTGGAGGGTGTAAATTGGACTATAATCACAATCTGACAGATAGAGAGTGAGGCTCTGTCCCTGATACTTGCAGAGGCCCTATGCATTTTTAGCATAGTAACCTCTCATCGCAGCTGCCGGGATTCGAACCCGGGATCTAACCCTTATGATACTCCCTCGCTACCAGTTGAGCTACGCCCACCGGTGGTGAGATCACCCAATCACATGCTCTAGGGAGTTGTCAGCCGATAACTTGATCTAATTGATAATTTTTTAATAGTAAATGTATTTATTTTATCATCAAAAAAAATAGTAAATGTATTTATTTAATGTTTTTTTAGTAGAAGGGTTGGACGGATGTATTTGATATAGTATAAGAGTGTATTTGAATCTTTTTTCCAATTTTTTATTAATATAGGAATAAATGTATTAAATGTTAAAAGTTTTTTTTTAAACTTAAAAGTAAACATTTCTTTTTGTACTAATAATTAGAAAGAAACGGAGGGAGTATGATGCTTTTGAAGATTCTCTGCGTCTGCACTTCATATTCGTGGCTTTCATTGCTCTTCATATGACCGACGCTCTCTACACCTGATTCCTCATTTTCTCAAAAAGATCAAATTTCATACACACAATCTTCGATTTAACTGCGACATTTACAGGAACTCCATGGACAGGTGATGAAAATAGTCCTTCTTTCCAGTTTTTCTCTTTGATTTTGCACGTATATGTGTTATTCCAATCAAAGTTATATCCGAGGACGCTCTTTCCTTATATTTTTATTCCTGTTTTTCATTATTCCCTTTTACTTTTCGTAATTTCATCTATGCGATTCGACGCTTCTTGAGTGCAAAGGCTGTGTCCTTGTTTGGACATTTTTGTGATTCACTGATACATTATTGTATTGATGTTCTTGAGAACTTGATGCGTATAGTTAATGTGGAAATGTAGATGGTGGGTATAATATACAGTGCCTTACTGCCTTAAGGTAGACATTGATGTAGTTTCTTTTGAAAATTTCTTTATTTTTTGTTCAAAAATCATTTTGACCTTTCCCTATTATATTTGGAATTGAGGCTGTTCGTTGTAAAAGTATGGGTAGTTTTTATCTCAAGTAGTGTATAATTAAATATGTGTGCTAGAGATTAAGAATACGTAGCTAAACAGAAAAATGTTATAACTAGATATAATGATGTGTAAAATGAAAACAAGCTCATATAAAACTGTGATAGAATATAAGCAGAAAATTCTTGTTTCATAAGACTATTATTACTATTGGAGAGGTAAAAGAAATTAACATCTAACCAACACTGCATTCTTCATTGGCAGTGTTTCTTGTCTTGCTCAACTGGTTCCACTTGAAGCAGTACTGTTTGACATTGATGGAACTTTATGCGACTCTGATCCAATCCACCTTCTTGCCTTTCGTGAAATGCTTCAGGAGGTATGTATTATCTGTTCATTTTATACTAAAGAGGCTGGTATAAATTAATAAGATATTCATTTCTCCCAATTTACAGCCGACTTGCAGTACAATGTTTCATGAATTTTGATATCTGACTTTTGGGGGGCCTAATGCAGATAGGCTACAATGGTGGTGTTCCAATTGATGAGGATTTTTTTGTCAAAAACATTGCTGGCAAACATAATGAGGACATCGCTTCTTTCCTTTTCCCTGATGATCATCCAAGGGGAGTGAAATTTTGTGAGGACAAAGAAGCTCTATTCAGAAGGTAATCAAAGTTGACCAAATGCTAAGGAAATTTCCATATAATTGAATTTATCCA